GAAGGACATGGGGGTAAAAACAATAGGATCATCAGCCTTGGAATAGAAACTCAAGAGTTCTCCTGAGGCATAGTAACCCTTGTAAATGTGACAAGATTAGGCTTCTGTTATCAAGGTTAAGCTTATCTTCTGCTGGAAAACTGTTCATTTGGTTGCTGACCTATTTGCATGGAGATTCAGGTCCCTCAGTTGCACTCTAGAGTGGGTTAAATATTGCTGTTCCCTGCTGGGCCAGCCCTGATCTGCAGGGGCCAGAAGTTGTGTAAGAAAATTTTTCCATTAGGAAGCAAGTGGTCTGAGGTGTGTGTATGTGTGTCACCCTCTGCTTAACCTTGGTGATCTTATAAGTACCGCGCGCTAACCGATTGCGCCACTGGAGCTCCAACCTTGGTGATCTGGAGAGGAATGTGAGCTGATGATTTTCTGCAGTGCTATGCAGAGTAGAGATCGACTTGAGATTAGCCAATAGTGGCTAATTCCAATTCCCTCAGCAGTTATTCCTTGCAGGGACAAACTGAAGAAGAGGCCATAGGAATTATTTGACATCAAGATCAAACTAAGATAGGCTATTCCAGTTGTTCATAGAGTGTGCTCCTGAACCAATAACATCAACATCACCTGGGAAATTGGGGAAAATTCAAATTCTTGGGCGCCTCTTCAGGCCAAGCAAATCTAAAGCGCTGGGGATGGGGCCCAGCAATTTGTGTTTTGAAAAAGCCTTCCAGGTGATTCTGATTTAAGCTCAAACTTGAGAACTACTGGGTTAAGGGCTTTTCACTCCTGGCTGCATGCCTGAATCATTTGTTTAAAACACAGATTCTTGAGAGGGGCCCAGGAAATCCGTATTTAATCCCTAGGTCAGTGGTCGGCAAACCGTGGCTCCCGAGCCACATGGGGCTCTTTGGCCCCTTGAGTGTGGCTCTTCCACAAAATACCACGTGCGGGTGCACACGTACAGTGTGATTGAAACTTCATGGCCCATGTGCAGAAGTCAGTTTTCGGCCTGGGCGAGTCTATTTTGAAGAAGTGGCATTAGAAGAAGTGGGGGATGTCGGTCGGGTCGGGTCAGGTCAGGCAACCGGAGACAGACGCGCGGCACAGACGGCCCCAGGATACGCAGCGCAGGGGAGGTGCGCGTGATTCATGCAGGAGTTGAGTGAGCCAGTCAGTCAGCAGTCTCGTTGTACAGTGGTTAGTGCTAGTCACGTCCGCAAATCACTTGCAGGTGACAAAAGTACCTACTCGAAGCATAAAGTTACCTGTATTTTTTTCAACCAGCTGCAAATCCTACAGGTATTTTTGTCATCAATTTAAGAATTGTAATTATTTTGTGTTGGCTTTATTATTATAAAATGAGGACGTTTTTAGCAAAGGCCAGCTTAGGAGTACCCTGATTAAGTTAATAACAATGTACCTACCTATATAGTTTACGTTTAAAAAATTTGGCTCTCAAAAGAAATTTCAATTGTACTGTTGATATTTGGCTCTGTTGACTAATGAGTTTGCCGACCACGGCCCTAGGTGATTCTGTTGCTCAGGCAGGA